TTGGCAGTGGCTTGCTACTTTGCTAGCTGGCGACTTTCTTGCTTCTCCTCTCTTAACTTCACTTGACACTGTGCACTGCTCCCGTATCCTTCCAGCCTGCTGTGTAGGATTGTGGGAAACGGCAGGAACAGAGCAACTTCACAGGTGGCATATTGCTGAAAAGTCCTGGCCGTTGTGACAGTAAACCCTAGCAGAGCCAAACTGGTCATTCCTCAGGCAGTCTTGGTCTCTCACCTACCGCTGCAATTGAATACCTTGCGCTGGTCTTTTCTCAGCGAGAGAAGCTTACTTGGCTCGTGGTTTTGGAGAGTGAGGGGTCTAGCTGCATGACTCCAGTATTTGGCAAAGGCTTTGCACTGCTCTATAACACGACTGGAGAGTAAGCAAGAGGAACACGAGCCAAACCCACCTTTTTTGTTGAGCACCTACTCCCTCTAGAACAGCGTTAGTCCTCCCTGCACTCACGAGGGGAGCACCATCCACACTTTAATCACTTTTTATAGATGTGCCTCCTACTACTGTCTCAGTGACCGTTCAGTGTCAACCTGCACCAGTAGGGGCATCCAAACCACAGAGGCAGTCTTCCCTGGGTGTTGTCCAGGGTCACCCTGGCCCCTGTCCCACACTTGCTTCTGCTTCGCACTTTCTGTCCCCGGCGAGCTCTTGTATTCTAGAGCTGCCTGCTTTTATTTGTTTATTTTCAGATAGAGTCTCATGGACGACCATAAAATCTTGATCCTCCTGCCTTTGCTTCCCAGGTCCTGGGACTGCAGGTGTGTGCCACTGTGCTCTGTTGGAGCCACCTTTATGGCTAAATTATTCTTCTGCCAACGTAGAGTTGGAACTGTACCTTACTTTTGGCCCAGATGGCTCCATTTCACTACAGTCTCTCCTAAAGAGTCACACACAATGGCCTGCAGCAAGAGCCTTGTCCTCTGAGCCTCTCTCAGGTAAACGCTGGCTGCCTCAGTTCTTAGCGAACACATTCACTTCTGAGGCGATGCCGCTTCCCTTGTTATTCATGCAACAGCCCTTGACTCTGAAAGCGCTGCAGAAGGAGGAACTGCCAAGGCCGTTCTTCCTGCACACCCAGTGCTGTGGCAAGGGGCTTTCCTTTGTCTAGCTTTCTCCAGTTTCAGCGGCCTCAACAGTGCTTTTAGCCTGTGCTCTGCGCTAACCCAAGACGCTTGCTACCAAGGCACCTTGCCTGGGGTGCTGGGGTCTCACTCAGAGACCCGGTGCCGGGCACCACTCTTTACAAGAGCCTGTGAAGCATACTGTACATTCTTTCTTGCTGGTCTTCCTCCCTCTCCGCCTCCTCCCCTGACCTCCTGACCCCTCTCTTTTTCTTTACATTAACATCTTCTTCTGTCTCTTATATGTCCTTCTATCTCATTTTGACCCCTCGTGTACATTGGGGGCTGTGACTATTTTTCAAGCTACTAAATTTTCATTTGCTTATTTATTCATGTATGTGTGTGTATGTATGTGGTTTTTTAAAGCGTCTTAGCAGTGGCATTAGGCACCTCTTGATTGTTCTGAAATCTCCACCACTGGCATTCATCTTGCAAAACTGAAAGTGTCCCCATTAGGTAATTCCCTACCCCAGCTTCCATGACCCCCTGGCCACCACAATCCATTACTTTCTGTTCCTGTGAATTTGACTTACAGGTACTTCACAGATGTGGAAGCAAACGGTCTCTGTGCTTTTATTTCACTTGGACTCAGCAAGGTTTATCCCCGTTGGGACAGATCCATGATCGCCTTTACATGAATCTGGCCCCAGATTTGTAGTTCCGGGACTTGCCTTCCTCTGACGGCTTGCTTCTGTGTCTTTAGCTTTGTACACGCATACCCACGCTTTTCAAAACACAAGTATTCCTGTTGCCTCCAAGGTCACAAACCTAAAGCCATGTGTGCCACCTGTGAAGGTTCATTTTCACTGCCAGCCTGACTGCACTTGGAACCACTTCGATGATTGTGTGTGCCTATGAGGGTGTTTCCTAAGAACTGTAACTGACAGAGAAGACCCAGGCCAAGGTGGACGATACCATCCCAGGTGCTGGGGTCCCGGACTGAATTAAAAAGGTGAAAATGAGCCAGGTGGCGGTGGCACACGCCTATAATCTCAGCACTGGGAAGGCAGGGGCAGGTGGAGTTCTGTGAGTTCGAGGCCAGTCTGGTCTACAGCGTGAGTTCCAGGACAGCCAGGACTATGTGGAGATACCTGGTCTCAAGCCCTCCCACTCTCCAAAAAGCTGGGTGGGGGGAGTATCAGCACCCTCCTTTCCTTGTTCCCTGATCCTCCCAGATGTGAGCAAGCAGCCTCCTACCACCACAGCTGGATGCTGCTCCTGTCACCGAGCTTTCCCTGCCTTCCGCCACTGGGCCGAAGTCAGTTCTCCATCTCTCAAACTGCTTCTTGTCAGGTATTTGGTTACAACCAGGGAAGTAGCGTAGCATTGTCGGAGCCCTCATCTCTATCAGTGGAAATATGCTTCCAACGTCTCTCTTACTCTCAGTCCATTTCCGTCTCTTCTTTTCTCTCTACATCAAGTTAGTCTACAGCTTGTAAACCCTCTCTTGCTCCTTGTTACCTACTAATGAGCTCCAAGACCTCAGGCACTCACAGCGCAGCCTTGAAAGTAGCTGAGATTACGATCAGGCCATGTGTCAGTAACCACAAAATAATGGGCTTTTAAGATGGCATTTAAGTTTGCTTTCTCCTGTGTTAATGAATTCTTGAGATAGCCTGGAATTGGCTTAGAACCACTCTAGAGCTGTTATGGATCCAGACCTCTTCAGGGTCCCTGATTTATCATCTCAAGATCATTACTACTCTCATAGTTTAAACTGCAGTTGGAGGGCTGGCCAGATGGCAGGCAGAGGGACTTGTTTTGCAAGCCTGGTGACCTGAATTTAATCACTGGAATCCATATAAAGGTGGCAGGAGAGAACCAACTCTACAAGGTTGTCCTCTGACCTTCACATGCCAGGCACTCCCTGGCACCTGTGCCCCCCCCCCCCCCCCCCCCCCGTGTGTGTGTGTCTCTCTCTCTCTCTCTCATTCTCACTTTCTTGCCCCCCACCCTAGTCACTAATAAATAAAATGTGGTTGAAGCTCCGGTCATCACATCTTAATTCCAGGCATTGGGAGAGAAGAAGTGGTAAGAAACGGCACACGCCAACTGTTTTTCAGTCTGTTTTCTAGGTGGACCCATAACACGGAAAGTTGGGAGCGCTGGTTCTAAGGAAGAAGGGAGAAAGAAGATGAGAAGCAGCCCTCTCTGCCACAGGCCTCCTCCGTCTCTGTGTTCAGGTGAACTTGCCTATGAGAGGACACAGCCACTCAAAGCCTCTCAAAGGGATTCTCTCTCGCTTGCTGTCACTCAACGACACTGGCAGCCTTTGGGGGCTGAGGACGTTGTCTGAGGCTTCATCTGTGGTCTGTGGGACTTGATGGGCCTGGCAAGGAGAAGGGGTTCTGGCAGGATTTGATAAACAGATGCCTTTGGGGGGAAAACTGAGACGAAGGAGGGGGACTCAGGACAATGTTCCTGTGACTCCCCCCCACGTGTGTGTGTGTGTGTGTGTTTGTTTAAACTCGAGGAAAACTTAATTAGCATCTGAACTTAAAACAATAGGGCAGGTAAGCTGGAGATCTTGGCAGCTTCCAGGAGGATGAAGCTGCATTAGAGACAAAGAGAAAGTCAGAGTTGTTTTTATTTTTTTTAAGATTTATTTATTTAATCTATATGAGTGCTCTGTCTGTATGTACAACCCTATGCCAGAGAGGGCATCAGACCCCGCTGTAGATGGCAGCGAGCCACCCTATGGTTGCTGGGAATTGAACTCAGGACCTCTGGAAGAGCAACCAGTGCTCTTAACCTCTGAGCCATCTCTCTAGTCCCTCAAACCTTGTAATTGATAGACAATAGACCTTTTAAGGTATTTTCCTTCCTCCTTTGGGTTCATGGAAATCAAGCCTTGCAAGTTGATGAGGCGTTGGCAAGAGCTATCAAGTTCAAAGCTGCACTCAAAGGCCCCTCAGGCACACTGCTGCTTGGTGGTTTTCCTAGGGTGGTCCTGGCCCGGCAGCATCAGCACCGGCAGCATCAGCACCGGCACCTGTTCGTAACTTGCTAGTGATGGGGCCTGAGTTAGGTAGATTCCAGCCACCTGTGTTTTAAGCTGCTTCTCAGGTGATTCTGAGACTCGCTGCTCTAGGAGGGGTCCAGGTGGCAGATGAAAAGGGCAGGAGGCTGGGCGGCCGGGAGGGTTAGGTAAAAGGCCCCGGAGTTGCGTCTCAGCATTTTGGAGTGCTGGATTGGCAGGTCATGGGGCCTCCTGTAGCTGTGTGCTGCTTCCTGGGAAGAAAAGGAGTATATTTGGAAGAAGGAGTCGTGGGCAGCAAGGGATACCAGGTGAGGATGCCAGAGGGAGTTGCTGACACAGAGGCACGCAGAAGCAGGGACAGGAGGGCCCTGCGAGGCCTCTCAGTGGCTAGCATGCAGGTAAGGACAGAGTGGACTCTGGTCTCCTGGCCAGCATTCTCTTCTCTTCCGAGCTGTCACAGGCCGTCCTGCTGTCTGTGAAGCCTTGGGTTCCTTACTGGTACTGAGGAGAGCACTTCTGGACTAGCTTGCGTGAGTAAAACTTGGGAGACGGACGATCGGAGCTCTCCATTGCTCATGGCTGGGCTCCTCCTTGTACTCTTCATCTCCTACTGGTAACTTGCCGTGGCTGTGGGAGGCAGCATGTCCTCCAAAGGGGTGCAGGTTGATGTGATGCCCCGGGCACTTGAAGGGACTTTCAGGCTTCTGTGTCATAGCTCCTCTTCCCTACAGCGTGGAGTCATTGTGGGGACAAAAATAAAGGGAGCTGGCCATGTGATATACAGCCAGGGAGTGCCTGCCACAGGTGTGTCTCAGTAAAGTCATAAGCCCTTTTATGACGTTCCTGGTGAGAAGTCATGGGTTGTCCCCAGTGTGGTGGTTTCAGTTCTGTAACTTGGTTTGTCCCGCCAGGCAGAGAAAGTTCTGCTGCGCATGTCCGGTGAACGGCACCTCTGTCGTCTGCATCTTTGGGTTGCGCACTCGGCCATCAGTGAGACAGTGTGACTGACAGGATAGACTAGTGACAGCAGAGGTAAGGACGAGGTCACGAAAGGGGTCACGAAGGTGGCTATGGAGAGGACGAGAGGGAAGCTCTTCGTGGAGCTGGATTCAAATCCAGGGGCGATCAAATCGCTGTCCACAGCAGTTTGACAAAAGTGGGTTCTCGGGACTTCGCTGTGGGAGGCAGGAGGAGGCATCTTTGGCACTGGTATGGAGCAAGGGTGGATGGGTAGGCAACCACCCAGAGGTCTGTCCCAGCAGGAGCTGGGTGGGGCATGGCCAGCAACTCCGCAGCTAGAGAAAGGAGCCCTTCAGGAGAGAGGGCGGTGACCTGGGAATGGCACGAAAATGTTGGTGGACATAGGAGTGCCTGATGCAAGAGGGATGTGTCTAGAAGGACAATTCCAGGGCACGGGCACCAGCTGGGATAGGCTTAGGAGATGAAGAGCGGCTGGGCCTGCTGGAGGCTGGCTCTCCATGCCTGAACACCTTCCCACCTGCGTCCCTTTGCACCATCAGCAAACAAACCGAATTCTCAGCCCTGGAATTTCCAGGGACGTCATGGGTTTTCCAAGCTTTAATTACCAGCTTATCTTCTGTGTCTACATCCTTGCCCTCGCTTCCCTGAGGGAAGCTTCCAGACCTTTGTTGTCTCTCTGAGACACAATAGGTTACAGAAGAAAGCATTTGAAATCAGGCCATTTGGGTGTGAGATGTGAATTTGGGTATTTTGTAGAAATGTCTCTTCACTTCGCCGGGCCTGTCTGTCTGCCAAATGGGCTGCACCCTGCATTAAGAGAATCATTCCAGTAAGGTGTGGAGGTGATGAAGGTCACATGCTGACCATATCAGTGAAAAGGCCGGGACCTGGAGTCAATGCTCTTGCTTCTTTCTTTGCCTCTCCTGCCTGGCTGCACGTATTGCCCAGGCTGGAGGGCCTCTCATTTTTGGGGTAAACACACCTTAGATTACATATGTCAGAGCAGCTATTGGGGTTTTAAGTGAGGGAGTCCAGTTTTCCTTTCTTGTGAAAATCCAGGAACACTTTTTGTTCCTTTCCTGTTAGAGAGAATCTATGTCAGATATTCTATCCGAGAGATCAAATTCTGTGCTTGGCTGCTTTGATACCTGTCACAATTACAGGAAAGGCTGGATATGGGTTTGTCTTAATACTGATCACAGACAGAATGTGGTTTCATGTCTGGGATCAAAATGGCATGTGAGCTCAGGCATATGGCAGGACATTCATTCTGTGTCGCTAGTTTGGAACAGCTAGTGATAATTGTCTCTCTTTCCTTGGGCCTCATATAGTCTAGGATGGCTTCAAACAACCTCTGTAGCCAAAGATGGACCCTGAACTTCAGATCCTCCCAGCAGCTGGGAGGTGAAGGCACAATTATAGGCATGTGCCACCGCTTCTGGTTTAGGTGGTGCTGGGGATCGAACTCACAGCTCTGTGCATGCTAGAGAAGCACTCTACCAACTGAGCTACATCTCCACTCCCCAACCTGGTATTTTCTTCCTCTTCTATTGAACTACATCTCAGATGTCCTTGCTTTACCCAAGACAGGGATTTTGAGTGGTCCCACTCTGTCCTTGGTCCTTTTGTTGTCACTGAGTCTGAGCTCTGCTCTAGGTAGGATTTGCCAGAGGAAGGGGAAGCCCCTTGGCTCTCATGATGTAATCCAGCTGCAGAGTGCCTTCACAGCTCAGCATGGCAGCTGCAGCCAATCTTCCAGAGCAGCTGGAGGTCTCTCTATGCAGACTGGTGCCCGTGGATGGTTGCTTGGCTTGCTCCAACTAAGCATCTGAGCTACCCAGGGCTCAGGAAGGAAAGCCACTCTCCCCGCAGTCACGGGGCTTTGTGGAAGCGATGTGCTGTGTGCCTGTCATCGAGGCACATGCAGAAACTGGAGTGTTCAGTCCTCGATGCTTTTTGCTACCTAGGCTGGTAGACTCATACATGGAGATTTCTGGAGAAAGCGGGAAAAGGAAATAGTAGGAAAGGTTAAAGGAGGTATTGTAGGGGATGGAAAACTCTAGGAAAGGAACAACAGGAAGGGGTCAGAAGACAGGCAGTCATGCTAAGGAATTTAGTCCTACATATATTGTGCCTCTTCTGAATACCAGGTATGAACATAACCACCCTTCCAGCACTCCCAGCAAAGTGCTTAGCCACTCAGCAAGGTGATAGTCTTTAGGGGCAGGTGTCACCAGGGGTAGCCAGTGTTCTGGGCAAGCTCCTTGAATGTAACCTGGAAAGCATCTGCTCAGAAGGACTGTCTGTGATTGTGACCTTGGCTTCTACTCCTTTTGAAAATGTCACCGGAAGCTCGTGGAAGACCTGGACAGTGTCACTATTGACTTTGCAGTCTCCTGGCAGGGAAGGGCACAGTAAATTAACGTCCCAAGGATCTGCTGAATAACCAGGCATGGAGATTCAGTTGGGGGAAAAAAAAAAGCAAAACAAACAAAAAAAATCATCAGAGTCCAAGGAGGGACTTTCCAGCCCAGACATGGTAAATGATACCTTTGAAGTTTAGTATGCTTGTTAATGTCCTGAGAATCTTGTTTAAATCCCACATGGACTTCACCTGGAAGGCTGTTGGAAAGGTGGGGGTGGAGAGCTGGGGAAAGGGTGCAGTTGGCCACATACTTGCCGCGTAAATATGAGGACCTGAGTTCAGATCCCCAGTACACAATGAAAAAGCTAGGTGTGTACCTATAACCCTAGTGCTGGGAGGGTGGAAACACGTAGTTCCCTGGACCGTTCTAGTCAGCCAGCCTAGCTGAACTGGTGAGCTCCAGGCTAATCGCGAGACAATATCTCAAATAAATGACAAAAAAAAAAACAAAACAAGGTGTGGAATGTCTGAGGAGCTCTAGCCTCTGTATACATGTATGAATGAGCACATATACACAAACATACAAAGATACATGCATGCATGCCTAAGAAAAGAAGGAAGTGGAAGATGGTTGTTTAGGACTCGGACAGTAAGGGTCTTGCCTTATCTGACGTCTGCTGAGCTGTGTGGCCCAGGAACAATGAACTCTACCTGAAGGAGCTCTACGAGCCAAAGGAACTAAGCCCTATGATGTCTCAGGTCATACGGTGAGAAGCAGCAGGGTTGGAATTCGGATCCGGGTCTTTGGCTCCATAGCAGACGCTGCCACTGCTGATGTCAGCCCTCAATCTCTCCGTCTCTTCTCCATGCCGGTGGCCTGAACTCTGGTGGGAGGACCTGTTCTGTGCAGAGGGGCAGACCCCTTCTACAGTAGGGCCCAAGTTTCTCTTCACCAGAAAGGGATAGCCAAGTCCAATGGCTAGCTTTGCCTGGCTTGCGGCCAAGCTTAGGTGCCAAAGTATCAGACTGAAATGGGCCAAACTCTTAATTCACTGAGATGCATGGGGATATGTATGGTCAGGGATGTCGCCTCCACTCCATAACGTGAATTCTCGTAGAGTCAGCCTTTGAAAGGCATTTATGTGTGTCTCCATAAACAGAGTAAGAAGCCCCTTGCCACACCCCATCCCCTGAGTCTGTGATGTGTCAGAAAGATGCTGGGCCGTAAAGTAATGATAATAAATGCCTGGTTCTGTCCCAGTGATGTAGGCTTTCAAAGCACTCTTAATGCTGCCTTTTATCTTCATCCTTCTGGCCTCCTTTTAAGGTGGCCCGACAGATATTATTATGTCCACACTATAGATGAGAAACAAAGACTCAGCGAGAAGGTTGGCTTGGCCAAGGTCATAGACCTAGACGCAGAAGAAAATGGCCTGGCATTCTTTTTTTTTTGTTTGTTTGTTTTTATTTTTCGAGACAAGGTTTCTATGTGGTTTTGGAGCCTGTCCTGGAACTAGCTCTTGTAGACCAGGCTGGTCTCGAACTCACAGAGATCCGCCTGCCTCTGCCTCCCGAGTGCTGGGATTAAAGACGTGTGCCACCACGGCCCGGCTCGCCTGGCATTCTTTAGAGCATGCGGGATACACTGTCCTGTCTGCCTGCCTGCCTATCACCATGCGGCAGAGACTGTCTCAGCTCTGACAGATTTATTACCAGCAATATATCACTTGCTTATTACCAAAGAGGGGAAAAATCCAGCCTTTAGAAAAACACCCAAAAGTTGCCCAACGAAGTGCTCAAGAGCTGACTGAGCTGGCATCGAAGTGAGGCCAGGAGATGTCCCACCCAGGGAGGGACAGGAATGCTTCTGCATGGGAAAGGCACCGGCAAAGCACCTGAGCTGGAGGCTGGCCGATCGGAGTTCACACCCAGCAATAGCTGGTGTTCACACCCAGCAATAGCTGGTGTGTAGAGAGTGGTAGGTAGGCGTGTGCTGGCTGGTAGGCCAGGGTCAAATCTAGAAGAGATGGGAAGGAGGCAGGCTACATCCAGAGTCCGGGTTTTAAGAGCCAAAGACCAGAATTCTGGAGAAAAAATTATCAGGGACTCATGTCTGGCAACAGAGAGTTGGTATCAAGAAAGGAGGGGGAGGCATAAAGAAAAGAGAACAAGGATGTGAGGAACAGTCGAGCGGAGTAGAGATGCTTTTAGACGTCTTGCACAAGAGAGCTGAGTTCATGTGTTCAGAGGGACTGGGGATGTGTGGGAAGGTAAGCCTGTCAGTGTAGTGTGGTGGAGGCCATGGATGCTCTAGGCATGATTTATCTATCTAGAGAAAGGGTGGTGGTTTGCTTTTTCATTGGCACCAGCTCACAGAGAGACTTATTGACTATAAAACCTTGGCCATTCGCTTAGACTGGTCCCACTAGCTCTTATAACTTATATTAACCTGCTCCATTAATCTATATTCTACCACGTGGCTCGGTTACCTCTACTCTGTACCAAACATCTGACCTCTTCAGTGTCTCTCTGGGGTCCTTGGGGGCACCAATATTCATCTCCTATTTTCTCTCTCTGCCCAGGAGACCCATCTGTACTTCCTGCCTCGCTATTGGTCACTCAGCTCTTTATTAAACCAAATCACAGCAATATATATTCACACCGTGTACAAATATCCCACAACAAA